TAAGCTCTCTTGGCAATTATTTTGCCTTGGTGCAAGACAAAAAGTAAAAAAAAAATCCCATAGGTTTGCATTTCATCATAAAACACCATTCAGAATGCCCTAGCCACTTCATAGCAAAGGAATATTTCAGACAAAAATTCACCTTCAGCCCATCCAAGATGTAGATGAGTTTATTTCTGCATCAGAACAGATTTGGAGAAATTTAGCATCACATCACCAATGGATCCTCTGCAGTGAATGGGTGCCGTCAGAATGAGAGACCAAACAGCTGATAAAAACATCAGAATAATCCCCACGTAGCCTAATCCACACCACTCCAGTCCTTCAATTAACATTTTGTGAAGCAAAAAGCTGCATGTTTGTAATAAACAAATTAATCATTAAGTCGTTTCAACTTTAAACCGTCACTTCTGGCCAAAATACGGGTCTATAATCCATAATAACAACATAAGAACAACCATCCCCTGTTGTTCTCTCACATCAAAATCCACCAACATATTTGTTTACAACAGTTTTAGACTCTAAACGGTGCTTGATCAGTGCATATTTCTCTCCTGATTCAGATGATTTTTCACTGCAGAAGTCAATATTATGAATAGAGGACTTTTAACCAGAAGCAATGGTTTGAAGTTAAAAAAACGACTTGATGGATTTATTACAAACACACCGCTTGTGGTTTATTTACATAACTTGTGAAACTAAAACCGGAAGAATGTACAGTGGTGGCCAAAATTGTTAGAACACCTGACAGATCTAAAAATATTCACCGTTTTTTGCCTCCAAAACACGATTTCATTTCATAATGTTTGTGAAACATGCAGATAGTTGCTCTGAGCACAACAAATAGCAGATGACGTGAGTCGTACTGTTTTTATCCACTTTTAACTTTAATATTTGGTATGTCCACCTTTTGCAGCAATTACAGCAGCACATCTCTCTTGGAGTTTAAAAAAAATTTTTTTTTTTTAAGCTCTCTTGGCAATTATTTTGCCTTGGTGCAAGACAAAAAGTAAAAAAAAAATCCCATAGGTTTGCATTTCATCATAAAACACCATTCAGAATGCCCTAGCCACTTTATAGCAAAGGAATATTTCAGACAAAAATTCACCTTCAGCCCATCCAAGATGTAGATGAGTTTATTTCTGCATCAGAACAGATTTGGAGAAATTTAGCATCACATCACCAATGGATCCTCTGCAGTGAATGGGTGCCGTCAGAATGAGAGACCAAACAGCTGATAAAAACATCAGAATAATCCCCACGTAGCCTAATCCACACCACTCCAGTCCTTCAATTAACATTTTGTGAAGCAAAAAGCTGCATGTTTGTAATAAACAAATTAATCATTAAGTCGTTTCAACTTTAAACCGTCACTTCTGGCCAAAATACGGGTCTATAATCCATAATAACAACATAAGAACAACCATCCCCTGTTGTTCTCTCACATCAAAATCCACCAACATATTTGTTTACAACAGTTTTAGACTCTAAACGGTGCTTGATCAGTGCATATTTCTCTCCTGATTCAGATGATTTTTCACTGCAGAAATCAATATTATGAATAGAGGACTTTTAACCAGAAGCAATGGTTTGAAGTTAAAAAAACGACTTGATGGATTTATTACAAACACACCGCTTGTGGTTTATTTACATAACTTGTGAAACTAAAACCGGAAGAATGTACAGTGGTGGCCAAAATTGTTAGAACACCTGACAGATCTAAAAATATTCACCGTTTTTTGCCTCCAAAACACGATTTCATTTCATAATGTTTGTGAAACATGCAGATAGTTGCTCTGAGCACAACAAATAGCAGATGACGTGAGTCGTACTGTTTTTATCCACTTTTAACTTTAATATTTGGTATGTCCACCTTTTGCAGCAATTACAGCAGCACATCTCTCTGGCATAGTGTCAATATATTTCCTGAGTCGTCAACACTAATGTTATCCCATGCCTTCTGCAACTGAAGCCAAAGGCTTTCTTTTGAATGTACAATAGATCTGTCCAGTTTATTTTCCAACTCGCCCCAAATTTGCTCGATGGGGTTGAGGTCTGGACTTTGAGGGGCCAGTCCATTGGCCAATTCAACAAAACCAACTGAAACCTCTTAAATATGCCAAGTCTTCTAACAATTTTGGCCTCCACTGTACATTTTCACAGCAATCCCAAGTATTTCATTATATTGTAGTAGATCTTTTACCAGTGACAGGTTATTTTTGAAGGACTCTTAAAAGTGTGAAATGTACTTATTCTTCCCTGTCTGCTGCCTTTAATATCACATCTCTTTGTATCATTTATATTCATACAGGATAATTGCTTAAGGTTGTTGTTTGTTTGTCAGGCCCTAAAAATCACACTGAAAGAAGGAGAACGATTTAGTTAATGTGAAATGTCCTCCGGGGCTCTGCAAAGTATTAATGAACTTATCAACTAGCCAAGTAGTTAGTTATTGGTTTCTCAATCGTGTAAGCAACTTGACATCGCAAACTTCACACATCTCCCGGCGGGTCAAGTGCGGGCCGTGCCTGAAACTTTGAAACTTCAAGTAGCTTGTTTGTCATCTCTCCTCTGTAATTAAAAATGCTCATTTGAACGTCTTCCAGGCCATGAGAGGACGGAGAGAAGTGCCCTTCAGCTGTGCCCACTGGACCCCTCCTTAGGAGTGGCAAACACTTATCTCCCATCATGCTCAAAGAGTGGGAGTATGTCCCCTAGAGCGAGCGTGTCTTGTGCGGGGCTAAGGTTGTTAAGGGCCCTTGGAATCATTTCTGCGTAGTGAACTGTGACCGCTGAGCCACAGTCCAGGGAGAAACCACAAGAGGGAGAGTCCTGTAATGGTGTTTGTTCATCTGTGGAGTTGGTGGGTTCCAAGCAATTACTGATTAACGATCTTCGACAGAAATGGACAATTTTTTTCTTTTTTTCAGAAAGTTTTATTTGTAAACTATGACTTAGTGAAGCTGTAATTTTTTGTTTTGCAGTGTAGCTTAAATATTATATGTTTTCCCTGACATGATGAGCTGTGATGCGTATGAGCATCATGCATTCAAGTCCAGCTTGTAATATTTCCTGATCTTCTTTATTAATAAAATGTGCTAAAATAGCAAAAAATCCCACTCTTTAAGTAACACTCATTCTGCAAGGATAGACTTATGCTTTAAATGTATTTAGTTATAATCACATTTTTAACTAAATTAAGTTGAAGCCTAAAGGTGCAGTCATATTTGTCCATTGTTCAATGATTTTTTTAGGGCAAAATCTAGTCATTTCAATAAGAATTCACTCGATTTCCCCATGCAGGTTTCACAGTGGATTCAAGTTTTTCACGGTTTTCGCTGAGCTGACCTGCTATGTTTGAAAATTACCTCTTTGTGGAATTTTAAGCAGATTTTCGCTAATATGGCAGCACCTTAAGGAAAAAATTGACATTTTAATATTGCGATAATGTTTTTTTATTGTCTTTGATTCCTTTTGTTGCACAAAAAAGAACAAGAAGCTTTTTTTAAGCAAAAGTTTCAGTCCAGATGATTTTAAAATCTTTCTCTCAGAATCATATTTTTCCAGAATATTAAAGGTAGAGTAGGTGATTTTTGAGAGTCTAGCAATAGCAAGCGAGCTTTAAAAGCATAAGACCCCACCCTCCCTGCAAATCACTCTCCAAATCCACGCCTCCTCCAAAAAACATGAATGTGCACAAGCAGACCAGAGGCTAACCAGCGACACGATGAGAGACGGCAGTGTTGAATGCAATGCTGTCAGATTACCTCATGTCTCATTCACCAGTGAGAAAACATTACAGTACAAATCGCATAATATTATAATAATAACACCTTCCATTCTCGCTCTGGTCTGCAGTAGCGTAATGAAACACGCTGATAACCTATCATGTATGCACATTTTGGGAAAAAAGGGTTTATATTCTAACCTTAAAGGTACATCTTAGTAACTAAAGTGTACATACTGTATGTACCATATTAGTAACTTTTTGAAAAGGTACCACCTCAGTGATAGCTTTTGTACCTTTTTTCGAGAGTGATTCTATGATGGATTTGCTGAAAAGTTTAAAAGTTAACATGCATTTTGGAAGTACATAATTGAATAAGATGTAGAATTAAAACAATTCACTTGAATGAAAAATTGAACCACTTTTACAATTAACCTATAAGACGAGTTTGAAAAGTAACTGATTTTCTGTAGCACATTTCACTGTGTGGGTTTCCATCCATCTTCCCGTCTTTCAGCTATTCTATATAAAGGTGCCATCAATCAAATCACAGCAGCCTACCTGCTCTCCCAGAGCTGAAGACATTTTCTACAGAATTCAGTCTTTAGAAAATACCTTCAGAAAATGATCTACTAAAGGGTTAAACTGAAAAGAATCCCATAGATTCTAAAGTTTAGACGTGTTTAATGTCTGTCTGCTGGATTTCCGTTCATTCGCTGTAATGCCGAGTTTAAAGGCAATGCACTGAAAAAAAGACAGAACCAATTTATTCTGTATTTATGTCAACATAATCATTTTTGAAAGAGGAAAACAAACAGAGAGAGCTAGAGAGACTGTGAAAAACAGGGCATGATGCATGATGGACATCTTCTGCAACAAATGGTGGATCACTGATAGATAAAGTTCACTAAGAGCTTTGTGTTTGTCTCAAATTTTAATTTCCCTCTCTTATACATTAATGGTTTTGGCGATACCATTATGAAGGGAATTTGGAGGGGTTAAATATAAGATCTATTTGTGTTTGACGTAATCATGGTCTCTAGTTAACTTTAATGATGGTTCAGAGACAAATATATATGAAATGTAATCTAATAAATGATATAAATGTTTTTTTTTCTACAACACCACAAAACTGTATAAGGGACCCATTTCAGTAAATTTTTTATTTGAAATAGTAATATTGTCTTTAGAAAGGTACTGTAGAAAAATCTAATGAATATGCATTGAATTTCATTTGAATATGTATTAATGAATATGCATTTTTTTTTTCAAGAACAACTTGAGGATGACAAATTACACAGTAATGGAGGTGAGGCACCGTCCGTTTCTCTTTCTCCAGTGCGTTTGTTGTCATTGTGGTGTTTTTACGTATCAGTCATCTTCAGTACTCATTACTTTGAGACATTTCAGACTCACTTTGCTCTCAATCACACATATCTTTTCATCTTTCTGTCTGTTTGTCATGATAGATGCAGTCTGAGTCTCTTCACTGTTGACATCCTTCATCTGGCACTTGGTATCAAAACCCTTCCCTTCCCTTCCCTTCCCTTCCCTCCTCTTCCGCAGAGCACAAATTCCAAGTATGAGTCACCATACTTGGCCACACGCCCTTCCCTTCCCATCCCTTCCCTTCCCATCCCATCCCATCCCATCCCATCCCATCCCATCCCATCTCATCTCTCTTCTCTTTTTGTCTAGCAGTTGGCCAATATACTGCCAAGTCTTAAATATTGTCTTTTTGCCATCTTTTAAAGTATACATTTTTACATCTGTTTTAAATTTTTTGTTCCAAATGTTTTAATTTTCAGTTCTATTATTTTAAATGATTTTAGCAAACGTTATGAAAAATATTTATTTTTACAGATTTAGTTTTTTACGAAGTAATTTTAAATAATTTTCAAAATTCAAGTAATTAAAAAAATTCAAATAATTGTATTTGTTTAAACTGATTCATTTGCTAATTATTTTAGTAAATATGATGTAAAATAAATATTAATATTACAGTTCAGTTTATTTGTTTAAACTGATTCATTTCCAGGTTAATTAAAATGATTTTAGTCAATATTATGTAAAATTAATATTCATTTTATAGGTTAGTTTTGTTTTAATCAAGTTCAGTTTATTTGCTCGAATTGATTGATTTCAAATTGTCAAATTATTTTAGAAAATATGACAAAATATTAATTTTACAAATGTATTTGACTAATGCAAGTTAAATTACTTTATTCAAATTGCTTCATTTTCAAATGAATTATTTGAAATAATTTTAGTACATAATATTTAAAATAAATATTCATTTTGCAGATTTATTTTGATCAAGTTCAGTTTATTTGTTTAACTATCAGTTTATTTTCAAATGATTAAATACATTTAGTAAATATGATAAAATATTAATTTTAAAAACAAATTTATTAAGTTTATTAAATTATTTCAAATTCATTCATTTTCATATTCATTATTCATTTAGTAAAAACTAAAATAAATGTTGCTCATTTGTTATTTACTTGTCATTCAATTAAATTCAGTTAAATTTGTTTGTCATATATAGGCATTATATTATAAAAATCAACCTCTATTCTTGTCTAATTTTGTCTCATCTTACGTGTCTCGTGTCTTGGTTCATCTCATGTAACCTCCTCTCACTTCGTCTTTTTATTTCATCACTTGTTTGCTTCTCATCTCTTCTTTTCTTATTTGTCCTTGTCTCCTCTCCTCTCCTCTCCTCTCCTCTCCTCTCCTCTCCCCCACTGTTTCCCTTATCAGTCTGGATCTACTGCATTTTTACTTCACACTTAGATCCTAAACACTAAGGCCATCTTCTTGATTTAGTTGCTCAGCCTCCTCAATCTTATAAATTAACCTGTGATGATTATTGAAATATTGTGTAAAAGTGTGATAAACATAGCTAAGACAGGGCCAGTGTCTGATATATATATTTTGGACACTGACACAATTTTCATAATTTCGGCTCTGTATGCCACCAGAACAGAATTAAATTTAAAACAATCAAGATGAAATTGAAGTGCAGACTTTAAGCTTTAATTCAAGGGGTTGCACAAATATATAACATAAAATGCTTATGGGTCAAAGACATTAAGATATCCGCATTCAAAAAAAAAACTTCTATTCCCCTCACCCGCATTCGGACCGGCTGACCGTGGACCCTCACTCCGGCCTCTTCCCCTCGCCTCTGGATATGGGACATCACTCTCTCCCTCCTTCCCCCAGACAGAGGCATTTTGCCCACACCCCTCCTCGGACTCCCTTAGTGGTGAACACCATGACCCCTCCAGGGACGCCGCAGGTCAGGCGCAGGAATAAGCTGAAGGCCCCTGGAACCCCGCCGCCTGCCAGCCGGAAGCTCATCCACCTTCTGCCAGGGTTCACGGCTCTGCACCGCAGCAAATCCCACGAGTTCCAGCTGGGGAACAGAATAGATGACGCACAGACACCCAAGTGAGTCACACTACTTTATACAGTGTTCTGCGTAATGCATTGTGCAGTGCATTTTAAATGTTGGTTTGTTTTTCGGTGTGAGGGCCACATCTTGGTCTGTAGCTCAGCAAAACCAAGTGAGCTGCCTAGGTAGAGAGCATTTTAAAGCATCATAAATGTGCTTTTGACATAAAGGCCAAAAGTTAGGCATGCAGCAAAATTTCCCTTTTAAAATGTGTATATATACAGTTATATTACAGTATATATTACAGTTTTATTTATTCCTGTGAAGCAAAGCAAGCTAAATTTTCAGTAGTCATTACTCAAGTCTTCAGTGTCACATGATCAGTGGTGGAAAGAGTACTGAAAAAATATACTCAAGTAAAAGTACCATTACCTTCCAAAAAATGTAGTGTGAGTAGAGTAAAAGTACTTGTCCAAAAAACTACTTGAGTAAGAGTAAAAGAGTAGCCTATTTAAAAGTACTCATGAGTATTGAGTAGTGAGTACTGAGCTGTGGATTCTACCCCATCATAATAAACACTGTACACCGCAATTGATACATTTTAAAAAACGTTGTACATTCTGTAATTCACATTATAGTGTTTGTCATAAAGAATGAAGAATATCTATCATCCAGCAGTTTTAATTTTGACTGCCAACTCTTTAAAATACATCAAAACAGCACGGAAACAGTATTCAGTTGAAGAAAAGATGAAAGTTATTCTCATATGCCTGACACGATTGTTACACTGAATGACATTTTAGTGGGTGTCTTCTGTAAATCAGGGAAAGATGTATGATATTTATTTTTTGCTCAGAAAAACAAAAACAAAATTGCAATTAAATTAAACAGAATTTTTAAAAATTTTTTGGGGGAACAACAACAACAATTTAAAGCAGTATTACACTTATTATTTTTATGCTTAAACCCTTTTTCGTCTTTGACCCTTATATATATGGTTGTAAATGGAATTACAACCATTTTTATACACAGTTTCTCCCATTCTCAGGGGCTCAAATGTAATTGGACAAATAAATATAATCATATAGGCTATAAATTAAAATTTTTTTATATTTTGATGAGAATCCTTTGCAGGCAATGACTGCCTTAAGTCTGGAGCTCATGGACATCACCAGAGACTGGGTTTCCTCCATTGTGATGCTTTGCCAGACCTTTACTGCAGCTGACTTCAGTTGTTGTTTGTTTGTGGGTCTTTCTGCCTTTAGTGTTGCCTTGCATCATATTTGTCAACAGTCAACTGTATGAAATGTCAGATGACGTACAGGTCTGGGGCGGGGCCAGTGCGTTAGCTGCGTTAAAATATTTTAATCGCGTTATTTTTTCATAACTAATTAAGTTAACACGTTAAACTGACAGCCCTAATGTGTGTGTGTGTGTATATGCATATATGTATGTGTATGCGTGTGTAGTTAGGTCCATATATATTTGAAATTGAAGTGCAGATTTTAAGCTTCAATTCAAGGGATTGAACAAAAATATAACATAAAATGCTTGGGAATTACAACCATCTTTATACACAGTCCCCCCATTTCAGGGGCTCAAATGTAATTGGACAAATAAATATAATCATATAGGCTATAAATTAAAATTTTTTTATATTTTGATGAGAATCCTTTGCAGGCAATGACTGCCTTAAGTCTGGAGCTCATGGACATCACCAGAGACTGGGTTTCCTCCATTGTGATGCTTTGCCAGACCTTTACTGCAGCTGACTTCAGTTGTTGTTTGTTTGTGGGTCTTTCTGCCTTTAGCTGCCATGAGCTGTTCCGAGCCTTCTCCAAACTTTTTTCTTCCCGTCATTCTGGTACAGCTTGATCTTAATTTCACCAGTCTAAAGAATGCTTTTCCAGAAGTGGTCTGGCTTTTTTAGATGTTTTTTTTGGCAAAGTCTAATCTGGCCTTGTTTGTACCTTGTGGTGAACCCTCTGTATTTATTTGCTCTCGTGAAGTCTTCTCTTGAATGTAAACTTTGACAGTAACACGTCTACCTCCTGGAGAGTGTTCTTCACTTGGCTGGATGTTGTTGCAATTACTTATGGTCCCTTGAAAAAGGGGGGAGGTACATAATAAAGAGCTGTAATTCCTTAAAGGGGTCATATGATGCGATTTCAAGTTTTCCTTTCTCTTTGGAGTGTTACAAGCTCTTGGTGCATAAAGAAGATCTGTAAAGTTGCAAAAACTAAAGTCTCAAATCCAAAGAGATATTCTTTATGAGAGGCGGGGCATAGAGGACCTACAATAATGTACAGTATTTGAAAAATAATGTGTTTTTTGAACATTAAAGCATGTCAACATATTCTGTTACACCAAATACACAAAATAATGATCTTTAAAGTAGCATCATATGACCCCTTTAACCTTTCCTCCAATTTTGATGTGAATACCCTCAAATTAAAGCTCAGAATGTGCACTTTAAGCCCATATTCTATTATATAACTGTAACCTGAATATGTTTTGGTCAGCAACTAAAATAATAAAAATTGTGCCTGTGTCCAAATATATACTGTATATGCATTTCTGCCTTATTGAATGAAAAATGCGTGCAGATGAACTCAGTTTGACCTGTTAGCAATTAAATTAATATATAAAACTATTAATATTGTACTGTGTATTGTTTTATAAAAAGTACTATATTCCCAAGAATTATCACAAAAACATAAACTAAAATTAAAACGAAATCTTCAAAACAGAAAGTTAATTGAAATAAATGTGGCCTGAAAAAATATATAATAAGAAATATATAATAAAAACATAAAAATATATTTTATTTCAGCTAGTTGCTAAGACATACGTTCTCATTTTGATTTAGTTTAACTAGAAGCACTACATTAACTAAAACTTAAATAAATATAGGAATATTTAAAAATGCTGAGGAATCTTGTTTTATTCTGTTGATATTTTTTGAAATGGTTAACCAAGTAAATCCAAATTTAGTCTTAGGGGTTTGAGAAAAAATAATCTTAAACATCTTTAGTTTTAATTTTGAATAACTAAACCTGGCCAAGAAGGTTTAGTTTCAGTCATAGAAGCTGACATGAAAAAAAACAAAAAAAACTACACTCTTACACACTTACACACTTATACACTTCCTGTAAGATAAAAAAATGAAAAATGAAAAACACAACAAAATTACTAAAATCAACTAAAATGAAAATGGGAAATAAAAAAATACAAATTCAAAATATTAAGAAAATAATAGTATGTCAATGATACTAATATAACATTAATAAGTAAAACAAAATACACTAATACTGTTTAAATATCAAGTAATTACTGTAATTCAAGAGCATTAACAGCAATCTATGAGTTTTACAGCTTCTCAAATCAGTAACTTCAGGTTTCATGATGGTTAGGCCACTTGTGCCTTGTGTTGTCTTGAGAGAAAGATAAACTAGAAGAACAGAGAGACATTACTTCCTGGTTTGGATCAGTAAACCAGATTAAATGGCATTAGATGGGTGATTACCAGTCCCCCTGCTCTGATGTGATCCAGACCCTTTCCATGTCCCTTTAATAAGGGCCTGGACGCTGAGAATGCCAGCAAATAGGGAAATCCAATCAGGACAAAGCTATTCCGATGCCTCAAATAGACCTGATTTGGGACTTGTATTGTTCATTTGAGACTTTGCTGATTTATACACAGCACAGTTTGTGAACAGACCATGACAAGGAGCTCATCATGTTGTATAATTAACCCATGTCTATGGAGCAGTATAAGGTACATACATGGGTCAAAGACAAAAAAAGTGGTTTCAAACATCAAAACGATAAAATGTTAATACAGCTTTATGTGTCCTGCTTAATTGTATTATTTCTGAGCAAAAAACAATGACTATTGGACATTTTTACCATGAGTTACAGAAGACACCCATCAAAATGTCATTCAGTGTAGTTCATATAACAGAAAATCTTGTCAGGCATATTCAGAAACAGATTTTTTTAGATCACAGTTCAGCATCCAAATACTAATTAATTGTAATTTTAAATCTTTACAAATCTTTCTCACTACCCTTTAAACTACCATGTCTTACCTATTTGTCAGCTAGACGTTTGTAATCATTTAAAATATAATAACATTTATTATGATCTCTTATTCTTTTATACATTTGAATACGTGCAGATCAGAATAAGTATCTTGTTTAATTTTTTCATACATATATTTGTTATGCTGAATGATGATGTAGCATTATTTCACCCATACTTTGACATTACATTATTTGAAAAATAGACATGTTACTTGCATTTAATATGCTTTTTATGTATACAAGATCACTTTTCTAAATACGATTTGATGCGGACACCAAAGCAGGATGTCTCGTCTTTGACCCACATGCATGACATACCAAAAAGGCCAGGCATATCTCATAGTTACAGCCTGTGTTTGAATGTAGATTTATGACCAGCATGTAGTTGTGAAACGGAGTTCACTGCTTTAAGCTAATCAGTTGTCAATCCGGATCTACTCAATTTTTGCTTCACTTTATGATCCTATGCACTGAGACCATCTTTTTGATTTAGTTACTTGGTCTCCTCTGTCTTATAAATAAACTTGTGATGCTTTGGTTAGTGAAATAGTGCGCAGAAAGAATCACAAGCATCACGAAAACAGGGCGAGTATCTGGTATACGTACTTTGGTCGCCAAAGTAATGTTGTATGGTTAGTGTGGAAATAGTTGATGGAAATGCGCTTTTGCTGTCTGAACGTGGTTAAAGGACTCTCCAAAACAACTTTTCACAACTTATCCAGAATATTAGTCATTTATAGAGGTTTTACAATTTATTTTTTTGAAACAGCTAATGAGCTTGTCGGTCAAACCCACATTGTTTCACTGCTATTGTTGAGGCGTACTTTCTGTATAAAGCCTTAGTGCCTCATAATGCTTTGCTTCATCACCAGTTGCAGGACATTCTAACCGTAATTGTTTTATGGCCGGATTTACATATTTGCTTAAGCTGATTGTGAAATGCTGTGTTTTCAATTCTTACGGCGTTGGTG